ATTTGATTCTATATGCAATCAAGAATTTCCTTTGTCACTGTGCACGCGAAAAATTGGACACCACACAAATCATTCCCCCTCCCCCTTCTTGTATGGTATTGAAGTATAAAACATCACTGAATGTCTTCATTCCCAATCTTATTAATCCCGGTATGCCCGCACATTTATCTCAACATCCTTATCTATGCTACTTCAATCTTCTGGACATGGGAGTTCTTGACCGGCATCTGTCTCATATAATATAACCGGTCTAACAACTACTCTGTAGAACTTACTTTTAAGTTTAGGTGGCACATTCTTATCACATATATAAAACACCGGACGCGAGCCTCTATTTCACCCACCCTGCTCCAATACGGTGGGTAACATCCTCGTTAATCCTCCCATTTACTTGAATAATAAACCCAATGTATTTGAAACTATCTCTCTTTGGGATATCTTGTTTATCAAGCCTCACGTTCGAGTCCGCGTCATTGTTCTCATCCCTAAACTTGCAAGAGATCATCGCATAAAGCATAAAACTTGTGATTTTAGTAAAGCTAATGCGGAGCATGACTGGCAAACAATTACCATGCCAACGTCTAGATTATATCCTTAGAGCTGTTTCATTAGCTATTTGGCCGTCCAAATCCCAATTATTATGTGCGTCAAAATTTAGGCGTTAACATACTGGCAAATGCTAATTTGGGCCTTTACTGCCGCATACACTAGAGGGAGAAATTTAAAAATAGTCAATTTAGAAGTGGTCATTCAAAAATAGCCACATTTCACGTGTTGGAGTTCCAGCATAATATGCTACAAGTTCATGCACATGTGCACCGATCTCCAGTATATTATGCTGGAACTTTCCGTGTTGCACCAAAATAGTGGCTATTTTTCAATGACTTTGCAAACGCTGGCTATTTTTGAATGATCAGTCCGAAAAATGGCTAGTCCGTGCTATTTTTACTATACTAGATGGACTTTGAACAGTTTGTATATTTTGGTTTGAAAACAAACGAACGAGCTACTCTAATTAGAACGAAAAATTTTCAATCAACAAGAAAAAACTACCATATATATCCCCCATATATCATTTTTCTATCTCATAGTATCAAATTAGGATAATACATAAGATTCCCTAACGAGCAAGAAAATGGATATGCCCTAAGAAGTAACTTCGTGCAGCTACTGCGCCCTTGCTTCTTGCTTTAGAAAGATTGCTCGTTAGCTAGGCCGTTTTCAATAAGGCTCGCACTAGGCGCTCACCTTTTTTGGCTAAGCCGTATCGTATCTTGCTGGTAATGGATTGATTCTTGAATCTTGCTTGGTTTAGGCAGATAAGATGCTCCCTGAACTTGTGCCGAAAAGTGAGTTTCTATCCCAACCTTTATGGGCGTCCTAATACCTCTCTATACTTGTCGAAAGTGAATTTAATACCACCTTATGAAGCATAATACCACTTTTATGGACTGGGGTGTTCCACACGCGCATGCCACATCAACACCATGCCAGAAATGCAATAAATTAAATTTTTTTGACTATTTTTCTGTTTTCTTTTTCATTCACATATTTTTTTTCATACCTACCACCAAAACCTCCATTATCAACGGGTTCATGGCTTTGATTTCAGTTAAATAAATTAATTTGGTGAGTCCAAAGAGAAAAAAAGATAAGAAAGAAATAAAATTTATTGCACAAAATTTGTGACACCATAGGTTGGTGATAACAGGGTCGAGATCTAGTTGGGTTTATTTTGTTGAATCACCGAAAAACATAGAAGCTTGCCGGAGGAATTGAAGAAAGAAATGGGGAAGTTTGTCGGAGGAATCTGAAAGTTGAAGAAAAAGAATNGCCAAAAAAATTATTTTTTGCTTTAAATTTTGATAAGATGCGCTGCCACTTTAATTTTTTTTTTTTAATTCTTTGCCACATAAGCTTTTAGGGTGGAATTAAATTCAGTATAAACAAGCATAGGATGGAAAACGACACCCGCAAAAGTTGGGATGGAAAAACTCACTTTTCGTCACAAGTTTAGGGAGCAACTTATGTATTTTCTCTATCAAATTCAAACGTGTATATATACATGTATATATGTGTGAGAGATATATATGTGTTGCAGGAAAAAAATTTAACTCGATTTTAATAATGAATTTGATTCCAAACCAGTCTAAACAACCTTCAATCTACCTCAAAATTTTATATTATCTCATCTTTGTGCTTTCAACGAATTCATATCATACTCATTTTTAAAAAGAAACTTTTTTTGAATGTTATATATTTATTGTACCTTTTTGGTTAATTTTAGTAATATAGAATTATGACTTAATAACTAATTGTTAACAAGCAATACCTTTTGACTTATTTATGTAGTTCTCTCCTAAATAACCATTCCGGCTGGTTAACATGTACTTTTGGGCTGCTCCAACTTAGAGCATAGTTTTGAGAAAGGTTAAGAGCCAAATTTGCCCCTCTATTACGTGAAAAAGATTAATATTGTAATATTCGTTATACTATTCGTGCAAATATACCCCGAGATTATATAAGTGACTCAAATATAGTTTTCTTCTGTTATAATTGTTCAAAATGAATACCCAATCCTACTTGACACAAAAATTTGGTGACATTAACATCAAAATTTTAATAGGTCAAAAAATTTCTAAAAATTGTAGGTAAAGATAATATCATAAATCAAAAGAAAATTTAGTGTTATCAAACTAAAAGGGAGAAAATGAAATATTGCCTAGAGAAGTGACTCTGTGTGTGTTTTGAGTACAAAGTTAAGGATTGTCAATTTAACCACTTGTAGCATGTAACTCTTCTATTTCCTAAGTTACGATATAAGTCTTGGTATGAAGATTTAACTATTGTTGCAAGTGAATTTAATTTGATGGCGTAAAAAAACTATGCACTCCTAGTGCACACAACTTAAATTGATCTATTTCTATCGATTAAACAACAAGGGTTGCATGTTACGTTCTAGATAAAACTGAGATTATATCCTTTTACCTATGGGGTGGCCACAGCAATATAGCACTTTATATTTGGTTGTATCTGTAATCTCTTTTTATAGATTGTTTGTGCAGCGTTTCTATATTAAAAAAATAGAAGAAAAGATCAATTTAGCACATTGAACGATTGTAAGATTTTGTGGAAAAAAGAAGAACAAATAGCATATTATCGTTATTTACCAAAGAAAAACTTAAATAAATGAATGAGTCGTACTGTAGATTAGGCTAACTTACCTACTTCGGTGAGCTGAATTCATGTCCTTTCTCTTGCAAGTCTCAGTAAGACATGGGCTAATTAAGTTCAATTCAATGTGGATCATATAGCACATTCCTCCTCGGGCACCTTTGTTCTTGAAAGTTTTTTTGATAGGTTATATGTGTATCTTTGTTATGTTTTGAAGATCTAACAAAGTAATTGTTAAGAACCAGATAAGGAACCTGATACACATCCTAAAGAACATACAGATCAACAAGTCTTCAGTTGGAGACAACTCAATTCTTCAGAGTCAAAGGAACAACAGAGGGAACAAATAGCTACCAGTTCCCGAGGTGACTGTACAAGTCAACTCCCCCAGCTGTAAAGTTGCTGCCTGCACACGCAATAGTGCGAAAATAGTGTAACAGTCAACTTTATGGGGAATGCCCTTTACCTAACTTGCTTGCATTATTCAAGTGATGTCACAAATGAATAATTAACATCGAGCAAAGGCAAAAAAACACTTGCACATTCAAGAATTGATCAAGCATTCTCTCAAGTCATCTATCAATCTTGCAAGTGACTCTCAAGGGCATCAAGAACAAAGAACAACATAACAACGGACTAGTTTCTTTTATCGAGTTATGACATGTCCTTAGTTGTGTTGTACCTTTGTTAATGCACTCTACTTGTTGTTCCTACTTAGCTTAGTTAGAAGTATTGTATAGGAAATCTTTGTAAATCATAAACCCTTGGATTTGTGTCTTGGTTAGAGTTAGTCGAGTTGTAAAGTCTTTGTAATAGAGTTATTATAAAGTGGCTTGTAATAGTGTTGTTACAAGTTAGTGAGGGATTAAGAGGTTAATTCCTAGGTTACAATAGTTTGTAATATAAAGTTTGTTCAGTAGTGAGTTGAAATCCTGCAAGGGTAGGTCATAGTTTTTGATCCCGTGAGCTAGGAGTTTTCCACGTAAAACTCCATTGTGTCATCTACTTACTGCAGTGTGCGTGTGCTCTGTGGGAACTAATAGAGAACCTGGTTCTCTATATAATTTGGTGGACCCTTAATTCCTATCAATTAGTATCAGAGTAAGTTCTTTCTATCAGGCTAACACCTAGAAAGGATCCGCATAGCTGCTCCGCCAAACATCGAGAAAGGTCAGTCTACCTACAGACTGCCAAGATTTAACGGCCAGTACTATGGATGGTGGAAAATAAGGATGCACAACTTCATCATGGCTGAAGACTCAAAGCTCTGGGATATCATCTATGATGGACCCTTCGTTCCTACGAAAACCATTAGAGACCCCGCAGTGATAGTTCCTAAAATTAGAAAGGAATATAATGATGCTGACTGCAAGGCTATTGAAAAGAACTTTCGAGCTAAGAAATTCCTCGTCTGTGGGATTGGACCAGATGAGTACAATAGGATTTCAGCATTCCAATCAGCTATGAAGATCTGGGAAGCTCTCCAAATAGCTAGTGAAGGGACAACATAGGTAAAGCAATCCAAGATTGACATGCTGACCACAAAGTATGAGCTTTTCAAAATGAAGGACGATGAGTCCATTCAGGATATGCACACTCGCTTCACATCTATCATCAATGAGCTTCACTCACTAGGAGAGATCATCCCTAGGAACAAACTTGTCAGGAAGATACTTAGTGTATTACCTGGTTCCTGGGAAAGCAAAGTAAATGCCACTACAGAGGCAAAGGATCTTCAGGAACTGACCATTGAAGAACTTGTCGGCAATCTCAAGACCTATGAAATAAAGAAGAAGAAGAAGGATAATTAGAGAAGAGAGCCCAAAATGGAGAATAACCTGGTACTCAAGACGGACAACAATGACTCAGATGGTGAGGATGATGATATGGCCTACCTGACAAAAAGGTTTCAGAAAATGGTTCGCAGAAATGGAGGCATTCCAAAAAGGGGCAGCTCCAGCCAGACAAAAGGTTATGACCTATGTCATAAGTGTGGAAAGCCAGGACACTTTATCAAGAATTGCCCTCTCCTCAAGCAAGATCAATAAAAACACAACACCGACAAAGCAACTAAGAGGAACCAGGTTCCTGACAAACAACTCAAGAGAAAAGATGCCACTGACAATATTGTGAAACAAGCCCTTACTGCATGGGGAGACTCTTCCAGCGAATCTGAAGAAGATGATGATCAAGGTGACAGCTCCATGATGGCAGTGGAAAGTGAAGCAACTGAGTATGAATCAATCTTTGCCCTTATAGCAAAATCTGACAATGATGAAGATGACGATGATGATGATGAGGTACACTTCTTAGATGTTCAAAGAAATCTAAAGTCTTATTCTCCGAAAAAACTTATGTCTTTGGCAAATGTTTTAATTGATGCGTATCATAGTCTTATAAATGATAAAGATGTCTTAACTATGGAACTGAGAGAAGTAGCACAGTCGAGAGATGATCTAGTAGTTGTGGTGGTAGATTTAAAGGAAACCATTGAGAGTCTGAAGAAAGAAAAGATGCCTTAACTAAAAAAATTACAAACATAGAACATGAGAGAGATGATCAAGTGGTTGTTGTAGTCGATCTAAAAGAAACCATTGAGTGTGTTAGAAAAGAGAAAGAGGTTTTAACTGAGAGGGTTGCTAACATTGAGCATGAGAGAGATAACCTATTAGTGGTGGTTGTAGACCTAAAGGAAATAATTGAGGAACTAAAAGGGAAACTAGGCCTGGGAACACTCAAAGGAAAGGAAGTTGTAAGTGAAGCACACCTTAGGCTTGAAGATGAGTTAAAATCAGTAAATTCTAGTCTATGTGCAGAGCTTGAGAAAGACGAAAAACTTCAAGAAGACCTAGGAAAAGTGAAGAGTGACCTAGAAAAATCACTTAAGTGGACCTGGTCCTCTGATACAATCATTACTATGTATACAAATAGTGGGGGAAACAGGTAGGGAATCGGGTTTCAAAGGGAAAGACTCCCCACAACCCTCATAGCAAGTACGTTATTGTACCTGATAACTGGCTCTGCACTCACTGTGGTAACAATGGCCAATTTAAGGAAACTTGTAAGGCTATATTTCAATCTCAACAAAAAGAACAAAGTTTTTTCTGAAAAGTAACTACTGCTAGGGAACCTGGTCCTTCATATAAAAAATGTGTGATGCTTGCTTGGACCAAAAGAGCCTTCATTCACCCCTTTCCTCATTACATGTTTGGGTCCCTAAGTCTAACTCTTGATTTCCTTGTGCAGAGAATAGTAAAAGGGAGCAGCTAACAATGGTACATGGATAGCGGCTGCTCGAAGCACAAGACTGGAAGCACAAATGATTTCCTTTCACTAAAAGCCCTGCAAGGAGGGAATGTATCCTTTGAAAATGGCAAGAAGGGATACATTCTGAGAGTTGGAAGGATCAGGAAGTCTCTTTCTACTCTATTGAAAATATGTACTACATGAACGGGTTGAAGTACAGCTTATTGAGTGTTTCCCAAATCTGTGACAAGGGAAACAAAGTGGAATTTGTATCCAAGATATGCATAGTCACAAATCTTGTGACTGGGGAGTGGTGTTAGTGGCTAAAAGATATAAAAATATCTCCATTGCTGACTTTGAGTCCTTGCAAAATGGAGATCTCAGATGCCTGAGTGTTGTTGATGATAATGCTGAGCTATGGCATAGAAGGCTGGGTCATGCAAGTTTCATGTTGCTAAACAAATAGGTCAAGAAGGACTTGGTTCTTGGTTTGCCCAAGTCAATCTTCAAGGATCACAGGGTGTGTGATGCATGTGTAAAAGGAAAGCAAGTAGATCCTCTTTCAAGCCCAAAAAGGAAGTTAGCAACTCAAGCCCACTTGATCTCCTCCATATGGATCTATGTGGACCTATGAGGGTGCCAAGTAGAGGAGGGAAGAAGTACATATTTGTTATAGTGGACGACTATTCCAGATTCACTTGAACTTTATTTCTCAGAACAAAGGATGAAACCTTTCAAGTGTTTGTGACATTTGTGAAGAAGATCTAGGTAAAGATGAGCTATAATGTAGTATGTATCAGGTCTGACCATGGGACGAAATTTGATAATGCCAAATTTGATGAATTCTATGCTGAAAATGGCATCACTCACAATTTCTCAAATCCAAGATCACCTCAACAAAATAGTGGAAGAACATGACTCTTGAAGACATGGCAAGAACAATGTTGATTGACAATGGCATAGAAAAAGGTTTCTGAGCAAAAGGTGTCAACACTACATGCTACTTGGTGAACAGGAGGATGATCAGATCCCTTCTGAACAAAATGCCATATAAACTGCTGAACGGAAGGAAGCCCAATCTAACACATTTAAGAACATGTGGTTGCAAATGTTTTGTCCTCAACAATGGCAAGGAAGCATTTGGAAAATTTGATGCCAAAAGCGATGAGTGAATCTTTCTGGGCTATTCATCACAAAGCAAAACCTACAAAGTATACAACAAAAGAACTCATGAAGAAAGCATACATGTGATCTTCAATGAATCTTATGACCCAGGTGGAAAGGATTTGAATGATAAGAATGATCAAGATGGAGAACGGTTAATTGTCCCTGGTGAAGTCATTGACATGGCAAATGGAAACGCTGATATGATAAGCCACGTTAAGGAATCAAATGAGGATGGTGCAACCATATCTCCAATTGATGGAGAGGAACCTGGTACCTCAATCACAACAATTGAAGCTGAGAATAGAGTTGTCGATGCTGTCCAAGGCACCCCATATGCTGAGATAAGGAGAAGCCAAGGTTCACAGTTTGAAATACCTAGATCCTCTAACAATGAGACTCGGGCGTCTAACTGGAAGCACAAAGACATAATCACTCCTCTTAATTCAGGAACTCAAACCAGATCAAAGACAAGAAACTCGCTTGCCTTCTCAACCTTTCTCTCTTAAATAGAGCCCAAAAATATCAAGGAAGTATTGAAAGATATAGACTACATTACAATTATGCAAGAAGAGCTCCAACAATTTGAGAGGAACAGTGTGTGGCACCTAGTTCCACGACCTGCTGATCGAACTGTTATAGGAACTAGATGGGTATTCAGAAACAAACTTGATGAGTTTGGAAACACAACAAGAAACAAGGCAAGGCTAGTAGTTCACGGCTACAATCAAGAATAAGGGATTGACTATGATGAAACGCTTGCTCCAATTTCTCGAATGGAGGCCATCAGAATTCTCATTGCCTTTGTATCTCATATGAAATTCAAATTGTTCCAAATGGATGTCAAAAGTGCATTTCTGAATGGCTTTCTAAAAGAAGAGGTTTTTGTCAAACAATTTCCTAGATTTGAGAATCATGAGCATCCTGAGCACGTCTTTAAACTTGACAAGGCTCTGTATGGGCTAAAGCAAGCTCCTCGCGTGTGGTATAAAAGGTTGTCAAAATTTCTTCTAGAAAATGGTTTTACAAGAGGAAAAATTGACAACACCCTTTTTCTAAAGAAACGAGGAAGGAAACTGCTCATTGTGCAAATCTATGTTGATGACATCATTTTCGGTGCAACAAACGATTCTTTGTGTGAGGAATTTGCAAAACTCATGGGGAGTGAGTTTGAAATGAGCATGATGGAGGAACTGAACTTTTTTTTTGGGTTTACAAGTGAAGTAATCTCCCAAGGGGACAATGATAAGTCAACAGAAGTACATCAAGGAGCTGCTTAAGAGATTTGACATGGAAGGATAAAAAATCATTGATACTCCAATTGTTATAGCCAATCGTCTAGACATGGATGAACCTAGTTCTTCTGTGCATGAGACCATGTATAGAGGTATCATAGGGTCACTCATATATCTCACAACAAGCAGACCAGATATTGTTATTAGTATGGGTATTTGTGCCAGGTTTCAATCTAATCCGAAGGAATCCCATTTGAATGAAGTTAAGAGAATCTTAAGATAACTCAAAGGGACATATGACTTGGTTCTCTACTATCCCTTAGGAGACAATTTTGATTTAGTTGGGTATGCGGATGCTGACTACATTGGCTATATGATGGACAAGAAAAGCACTTCTAGCATGACACATTTTCTGGGTTCATGTCCGATTTCATGGGGTACAAGAAAACAAAACTCAGTGGCCCTCTCAACTACAAAAGCTGAATATGTGGCTGTTGTTTCTTGTTGTGCTCAATTGTTATGGATTAAATAGCAGCTAGAAGATTTTTGTGTGTTCTCTGAGTGCGTGCCCTTACTATGTGATAATACCAGTGCTCTCAACATGGCCAAAAATCCAGTTCAACATAAGAGAACAAAGCACATTGATGTGCGACATCACTTCCTTAGAGATAATGTTGAAAAGGGGCTTATTTGTATGAAATTCTGCAGCACAGAAGATCAAATTGCAGTCGAGTACTAGTTCTCATAGGAGTCACAAAACTTCGACTCCCAAAACATTTGTAGCTGTGACCTCTCCTTCTGCCTCGCCTGAAGCAATGGTCAAACAGGATACTATAAAGAGAGAAAAAAATCCAGAAGTTACTAGTCTGCATGTGCAAGAAAGCTCTGCTCTTGAGGGGGAACAAGTTAAGGAGGAACAAGATGTTGGTCATATCCCTTCTGAATCGACAATGACGGTCCCTGGCCTTGATTTTACAGGTAATACTCTTCCTACCTCTGAGTTTACCATGGGGGTACAAGAATAAGAATCCATAGAAAACATATTTTCTATAACTTCTGAGGGAAGTATAATTGGGGGTGGTGAAGGTCTGTCTGAGTCTTAGGGGGAAGACAATAGTACACTAGTGGAGAGTAGGGAAATGGTGCATGTTGAAACATCAGCACCGAACAGTACTACTGGGGCACCTACTGAGGGACCCGATCCCTCCACCGAAGAAGAGCCAACCCTAGCTCCTCTCAATCACCCCAGGTCAATATTAATCCTGCTCCCTCTCCTCACTTTTATGCTGAGCCCTTGTCCATAGTTGTCCCTGACATGCAATCAGTGTTTGAGGAGGAAAAGGAGGATAGTGAAGAAGAAGATTATGATAATGTTGCTCTAGCGAGCTTTTGTCAGTGCTAGGAGTATAAAGGCACCTCCTCAGGGGTCAACGTCTAAAAACCCTCATGAGGTTGCAAAGAAGGAAGAATTTAAGTCTTTTTTAAGGAAAAGTAAAAAGAAAAAGAAGAAGAGGAGACTGGTGAAAGATGGAAAGGTTGTCAATGAAAAAGTAGTGCCTCCTGCACAAGTTGTGAAATTTAATGATGAGGTCAAAGAGGAACCTGGTTCCTTGGTTCATAAGTCCTCAAAGACTCTTCCTGTTCCAAAAACCAAAAGGGAGTCTCATGTGGTTAGAAAGGAGTTGAGAAGGGTTGAGGGTGAAAAATCTGTTGAGAAAGAGAGTGAGATGGGTGTGAGCAATGTTAAGGGTGAAAAATCAAATGAAAATCTAGTTGAAGAGTCTGGTGAGCGTATGGTTGGGAAGCCCGTTGAAAAAATGTCATCTGCTGAGAAAGGAAAGAGTGCACGAAAATTAGTGAAAAGGAATGCTGGTGCT